AAATAACAATTTACGGCAAATACACACAGAAATACATCTCCTTTCCTTTGTAAAGGGGTAGCTTAGAAAAAAAAATAAGAAAAGATCGAATAGATACGCAAACAAAAGTTTGATAAAGCAAAAGAAAAAGTGGAAACTCTCCCAAACTTGAGAAAAAAAACGATTATGTAGGAGCGGGAGTCTATCACTCATTTTGATTTGAAAAATTAAACATTAACATTAATGTGCGTTCATTCGTTTCGAAACAGGGTAAAAAAAGTTTATTTTTACACCCCCCCCCCCCCCCGATACTACCTGCCTGACAAGTATATTTATTTCTTAATTTTGCTCTAAATTCTGCTATAAATATTCCGATTTACTTATCGAATAACACAAAACTTGTGCAAATACATGTAATATACATGTGTATAAACACTTCTAAAACAGTTGTTGGTATAATAGAAACAATTGTTATATATGCCTGCTATGAGAAATATCAGCCTGATTGTGTAGTAGAAAATAAAAAAAAAATATACAGGTATATGCAGTTTTGTCGATTTTGTCATTTAATTGAGTGACATAAAGTAAAATGTATATAACAAATCATTAAGATTGATTTATTACACTTCACAAGGATTTTCTGTTATAATAAATGTTACAAGACTGGTTAATGAACTTAAGTCTCAATAATCATTTTCTTCGTTGCATTAATGAATTCGAAGTTTTTCCGAGTATATATGCACCCTAAAACGTGGCAAGAGTGGAAGGTTGCTTTGAATAATGAAATGGTCAGTGTAGTGCATTTGTTTAGACTGAATAAATGTGAAAAATTGAACATACGTCTTAGAAATGTTTGGCTTGTTGTATCTTTTTTCGCACGAAATTGATTCGTGTGCTGTTTGCAATGCCCAGGAAAACTGCGATTACATCAATTGATGAGAAATAAAATATGTCCCAGAAAATCATCAGACTTTAAGATAAGTGGTAGTCTATAGAGAACCTTGTTTTGAATCTTTAAAAAATGAAAGCTGGTGACTGCACTTTTCCAATACGAGCTAAACGTGTCGCTTTTTATAGAAAACACGCTTTCCAGAGGTATTCACCTGTGACGGTATTGAATCACGTGACATATTATCTATTCTTAAAGCTGACATGAATTCTTAAAAACGCAACATTTTCATCTATGTACGACTTGTTTCATACCAACGATAGCCGTATTCCGCCATATTTCTTTCAGATACCTTGTCTCATTGTAACGATGTATACCCCAATGCGCTCGTTACAGTTCAATGATTTTTTGGTTTGGGTATCGACTTGTGCACATCTCCGATGGTAAAGCATATATGAGATCACATAAGGATATCAAGACATTTCAAAACCACAATAAACAAAATAATAATCATATTTCTGAATAATTATTGATTTGAATCAAAAGAAAAGAAATGCAAGTTTGGTGAGAAATTTAGATGCACGAGTACGTATTTTTACAGTGCGACAATTTATGCAGAATAAACTTGAAATAAAAAGCAGTAAAATCTGCAACACATTTTGAAATTATTATTATTTGAATGGCGTAAAACAACCAACGTCTTTGATTTGCAGCCCCTATGCAATTGGTGCATATCGAGAAAACGCCTCGAACGCTGTAAACGTACCCATGTACCTGGTAAAAAGGTTACTGCATCGGTTCGAAGATGTGCACAAGTCAAGTGATATACACCCTGAATTCCATTTATTATGTTCCCCAAACGAAGTTGGGGAACATATTGTTTTTACTCTGTTTCTTATTATTATTATTAGGGTCTTCCGCTTCCTTCGGAAGACCCTACTGTTATTCTACTGTTTCTTATTATTATTTTATTTTTTTTTTTCCCGCTCGATTTTTGACAGGCGATTTCTCAAAGACCTTTGGACTGATTTTTATGAAACTTTCAGGTTAGATACCTTGTAATTAAACCTATTTACACCTGTTTTCAGTTTTTTGATGCATGCCTTTAATTGTGAGTTATTGCCCTTTAATTGAAAATTTTGATGTCTCGTTTCCGCTAAAAATCTCAAGAACGACGTAAGATATTTACACGAAAGTTGGAGAACTTGTAGCCAATACATTGTAGATGTGCAGAACGATAAAATTATAAGCTGATTTCCTAAAGTTTGGAAGCTATAAAACGGCAAATTTTAGTAATTTTTTTTCTTGAATTTTTGCTACTTTTTGTGTAATAACTTTTGAACCGAGAATAATTTGGTAAGAAATATATAACAAAAGTTGTGTGTAATTACGAGAGCTTTCATATTAGATTAATTAAAAGGGGCTGGCCCCTATAATTAGGGGGTTAATAGCTCATACACGTTTTTTTCTGATAGCTAAAATATTGGTATATTATGAAAAAGTTTGACTGAAGTAATTTCGAACTTATTAAATCTTGTCATTTGATATAAAAAGAAATAAACTTCCAGCTATATTTAATTGTTTTTTATATAAAACAAGTATGTGATGAGAAACCTTTCAGGAACAAGTTGTCTACTATAGCCAGCCAAGCCTTTACTGCATGTGCACATTTTTAGTTGATGCATCTAAAAGATATAGTTTTGATTCGGTGTTTCTTTGTTTTCTTTTTATTCAAATAATTTTAAAATGTGATGATGTACACAACAAAAATTAGTACCTAGTTTAGAGGATTTTTGTTTGTAAACAACGCGCGGCATTGTGGGAAATAGGAAGGTACTAAAGACGCGATGTACTAAACACTGATTTGACCTGATTCAAATTTGTCTGTGAATGTTCCAAACAATTGAATTTTTGTATAGCATATGCCTCGAAGTCATAAAGTCTGTATATAAGTAAGTTAAAATACTCAATATTACCATTTAATTAAAAAATTAAAACGTCAGGTAAATATCAGGTCTCTAGTATATCCCGTTTTTAGTGTGCCCCTTCGAGTCTTAAACATCTTACAAACTGAAAATAGAATGATTTGTGAAGTTGAACGTTTTCTCACCAAAGAATACGTATGTAGACATGCACACTCATTTAATCTGCAGCTACGAAGTACTTTGTCACTCCTCTGGAACATTATTCTAAGCAGAATTATTCAGATTCATATATTCTAAGAAACTTGTGTGAATTGTTTACGAGGAAATTCCAACTGTCACATTAACAAGGATGAGCACTCTTGACTCTGCTTGGGATTTCCTAGTGATAATTGCATCGAGTGATGAAAGAGCTGACGGCGACATTTTAATGTATGATTGGCTTGGACCATTGGAATGAAGGTTAGAATATTTTTTTATTACTTAAAATACATGACAGTGACATACATTGATATTATTAGAAATACACAGACATACCGATATATTATCTGTTTTACAGTTCAGACGCTCCCTGTTTGGCTTGTAAATCCCCACAGCTTTATATTATACTTTTTTTTTAATTTGAGAATGTAATTTCAACAAGTCTTACTCACTCAGTCACTGTTACTTTCAAAACCAAAAATGCAAAAATTCCAACACAACAGTCCTACTATCTATCATAGTGATCATACCCTATAATTCAAACTGCACTTAGTGTTACAGAATATATTCAACTAATTATATATTGACAGTGTGACTGTTAGGGTGAAGGCAGATACTTATTTAGTTTTATAATTTAGATTGTGCTTGTCAAGCCGCATTTGACATAATGGTGCATCCATGCACAGTGTTCACACTGAGAGTTTATTCAAATGTTTAATTCGAATGATTTCACTGCTCGTTAAATTACTTCCCATTAGCTCCATGTGAACATGACTAAGGATAGCTAATTCAAATTAAATAGAAATGAATTTTGAATGTAGCTTAAACATGTTAAAGAAGCTAAGCACTGTGGGTCCAAAGTATACTGTGGAAAAATTGTGTGGAGCAATGTGCAAGTCAAATCTTCTTTTGCCGAGGTGTTATCATAAGAGCTCGCATTATGGGCAGGGATTTGTGCTGCTGTCTGGACTCGCAATAAATAGATGTTTTCAAAAAGTCTGAATTTTTTTAATGTCATACTTTACTGACAAAAAAGGACAAATATTGCTCAGTTAAATTGCAAAAGAAATTTGTTTAAAAAAATTGTAATAATAGAAAGTTTGCTTTTTTGTTTGATAAGACTGCTGTAATGGTTTAATGTTTGTTTATTTGCCTTAATCATAGTTACATTTTCAGTCATTTCATGGTGCCACCACTTGGGATGGTATTAGCTGCAAATATAGACTTGTACTTAGCACTTGTTGCCTTTAAGAAGTATGAGATCCATTTTGTGCTAACACCTACCATGACACAGAATCTTGGTTTATTCAGTCTCATAGGAGTAACCTGTCTAAAGCATTTAGCAATGGGATTGGAGCCTGAGACGTAAGGTTCAATTTCTTATTGATACTTTGATTGATAATATTTATTTGAGAATTTCACTTATTCACATACTTAGAGATGTTGATATATACTGTTGAATAGCATCACATAGACCTTTACTTAGCTAACTTAAGTAAACATGTACTGTGAGGTTTTTAAGGTCTCATTCATTTTATATGCCGGATGCATGTTAAGGAACATTACTGCATAAATGTTTTTGTCTTAAATTTGAAGCTCTTTACTAATGCCCAGTTCACACGGAGAGTTTAATTCGAATTAAACATAAGTTTACTGCGAATCAGCTTCGCTTAGCGTTCACACGGAGAATTTAATGCGAATTAGTTTACTTCGCATTAGTTTACTGCGCATTAAATTACTTCGCATTAGCTCCGTGTGAACGCTAAGCGAAGCTAATTCGAATTAAATTTTGGGGCATGCGTAATGGCAAAATTAAGTAAAATGCGTCATGTCGGTGGTCAGCTTGAAGTGCTTGTGCTATTTTTGTGTGAAAATTTAAGAAAAAATGTGTTAATCACTAAAATATGTCTCCAGACACTGTGACATTATGTCAAATGCATCTGCTTCTGCATAAGGTGACGTGATTTGCAAATGACGTCATAATAGCCTTCCTCACGCCTGACTGTCGAAGTAAAATTTTAATTCGCATTAGTTTACTTCGCATTAGCTGTCGTGTGAACGCAATTTAATTCGCATTAGTTTGATTCGCATTAGTTTACTTCGCATTAATTTACTGCGAATTAAATTCTCCGTGTGAACAGGGCATTATATAGAGATATGTTACCATATAGTGTTAAACGTCTTCAAATTAGGGTAGACCTTTACTTTAAACTCAGCAATGTGAGTGTGTTGTGTGAACTTGTGTTAGCAAGACAGTGTGTTGTATGAAATTGTGTTAGTCTGACAGTGGGTTGTGTGAATACTTGTTAGCTGTTGCGTAAACTAGTGTAAGCGAGACAGCGTGTTGTGTGAAATCGTGTATAAAGTGTAAGTGTGACAGTGTGTTGTGTAAACTCGTGTTAGCTAGACAGAGTGTTGATTGAACTCGTATTAGCGAGACTTCGTGTTGTGTAAACTTGTGTTAGTGAGACTGCATGTTGTGTAAACTCGGGTTAGCGAGACTGCGTGTTGTGTAAACTCATGTTAGCGAGACAGCGTGTTGTGTGAACTCTTATTAACGAACAGCATGTTGTGTGAATTTGTGCTAGCGTGTCAGTGTGTTGTGTGAACTTGTGTTATCCTGAAAATTTGTCGTGTGAACTGGTGTTAGAGAGACAGTGTGTTGTGTGAACTTGTGTTAGCGATATTGCATATTGTGTGAACTCTTGTTAGCGAGACTGTGTGTTATGTAAACTCGTGTTAGAGAGACAGCGTGTTGTGTGAACTCGTGTTAGCGATATTGCATGTATTTTGAATTTGTGTTAGCGTGACAGTGTGTTGTGTAAACTCGTGTTAGCCTGACAGTGTGTTTTGTAAAATGGTATTAAGATTACAGTGTGTTGTGTGAAATGGTATTAGGATGACAGTGTGTTATCGCAACAGCGTTTGGTGCGAACTTGTGTAAGTGAATAGTGAGACAGCCTGTTTTGTGAATTTGTGTTAGCGTGACAGTGTGTTGTGTGAACTCGTGTTAGCCTGACAGTGTGTTGTGTGAAATGGTATTAGGATGACAGTGTGTTGTGTGAAAATGGTTTTAGGATGACAGTGTGTTATCGCAACAGCGTTTGGTGCGAACTTGTGTTAGTGAATAGTGAGACAGCCTGTTTTGTGACTTTGTGTTAGCGTGACAGTGTATTGTGTAAACTCGTGTTAGCGTGACAGTGTATTGTGTAATTTCATGTTAGTGAGATTGCGTGTTGTGTAAACTCATGTTAGCGTGACAGTGTGTTGTGTGAATTCATCTAAGCGTGACAGTGTGTTGTGTGAACTTGTGTTAGCTAGACAGTGTGTTGTATAAACTCATATTAGCGAGACTGCGTGTTGTGTAAACTTGTGTTAGCCAGACAGCGTGTTGTGTGAACTTGTGTTAGCAAGACAGCGTGTTTGTGAATTCGTGTTAGCATGATAGTGTGTTGTGTGAACTTGTGTTAGCCTGATATTTTGTTGTGTGAAATTGTATTAGCGTCACAGTGTGTTGTGTGTTAGTGTGACAGCGTGTGGTGCAAACTTGTGTTAGTGCGAAAGTGTTTTTCAGTGTTGTGATGGCGAGCTGTGTGATAGCCTAATGGCATCTTTTGTGTCAGTAAGATGGCACGTTTTTATGAAAGTGCTATTGAGCTTTAGCAAGTGGCCCTATCTGGACACACCTTATTATGATTGATCAGTTCTCAGATATACAGTGAATTACCGGTATTATTGTCAACATGAAATCAGCATTTACAGTTGCAATTACCTAGTTAGTAATCATAAGATATTGGTTTGCCAGTTATTAAAATTATGGTGTTCCAATGATGTGAAGTTGCAGTGTGTTAGCATGTTAATTTCAACAGACTGCCACTCCAATGCAGCTTTAAACAACAGGCTGCTGTGTTAACACAAAACAAAATATCATGCAAACAGAACTCTAAACAATCTGTTGAGTGTTAGCTTCACTGCGTGTTGGATTCAGTGTGCTGGCATATTATCACTGACGTACATGCTAGCACATTGTCACCTCGTGCTAGTATGTTGTCATAAATACTCTAGCACATTATCCTAGACCCGCTAGTGCATTATTACTTTGCACTTGTATGTTGTCTTATTAGGGAATAGCATAAATGACTGCCTTGATTGGTGTAAACTTCTTTTAATTGATGAAAGAGTACATTAAAATTTACAAATTATACAGGGAAAATGTGACAATATCTTAGAACTCAATTTTATAATCTAATTTATAATCTCATGAATTGCATGTTTTATTGATAAAAGAATTATAAATTAAAAAATTTAAATTTCTTTTTGATAGGTGTGACTCATCTGAATACTGAATTTTGATACCAAGCATGACCGTGATTTGCCAGAAGATCATCTGTTTGGATGTGACATGGAATAAACAGCATAGTGAAAATAAGTCAAGTTTTGGTTTGTGACGACAACTTTTAAACACACTGTGTATCATTTTTAAATTTTGATTTCACAACATAAATCCACAAATATGAGCATATCAATTGCTCTCGGTTTTTCAAGTGAAATAGTTTTTGTAACAGAAATACATGTACCAGTAATTACATTGGACAAAATGTTATTTTTAAATATAATAATATTTTGTTTGTGTTGCATGTTGACCTCTTTATTAAGGTCTTCCCTTTCAAAGTTTAGACTTACTTATTCTAATGATTTAGATAGATCCTCTGTCTTCAGCAGGAATATAAGATCTTGTAATACATGTATGTGTATTTTTACAGTATAATGTAAAAAAAAAAATTATTTTGGCTCATACAATTAAATAAAGTCATATACATGTGTATGATTCCAAGGAATTCAATACATAGGGCATGTACATGTAGTTTTCTAAAACAAGATTAAAGAGATGTCCAGTCACATTTCAATGTCAACTGCAAAACTGTGCCTGTTGCATACTTATTAGCCCATCTGAGCTAAAGGAACAAGTAAATTTTTTAAAAACATAATTTTATCCATTATCATCATTGTCTAAAATTTCACAATATCATTTTCCAGAACCAAAGTGAAACTTGGCATAGAGCATCCTTAGTGTAGGGATTCAAATTGTTCTTATGCAGGGCAATACTTTCAAAGAGATTTGTTTCTTTAATGCTGTAAATGTATTATATTTAGCATGTACAATATTTGGTGGAAATTGACTTTTGAATAAGTTAGTGTAGATATTCTTATTTTTATTTATGTACAAAACTTTTAGCTTCGTACTTGATTTAGTGATTGCTGCATTCCGCAAAAGCCGCTAAAAAAGAATACACAGCCATATGTAATATGTTTACAATAAACCTTTCAGAGAATTTTACACTCCTATTGAGGTACCACCAGTTGCTAGTGGAAAGCTGCAAATTCGAAATATACACAACACATTTCTGTGCGTTTATTATAAAAGTATTGTTCTACTTACTGATTGCAACTAATGAAGATTGTTCATCATTATTGTAAATACATTTGGATTTTTTGATTTATTATATAAAAATTTGTTTATTTTATTTACCTAGTTATATTGTATATTAAATGATTTTTAAGCCATTTTTAAGATGGTAATGTAGCAAAACACTTATGTTTCTGTAGTATGACACGTTTCACAAACATAATTGTAACAAAGATGATATATCCGATATCAAAAGTCATAATATTGGAAGTTTAACTGTTGTGGATACGATTTCAAGAATGCTGTTAGAGAGAGTACCCTTTAGACCTCATGCTCACACCAAATTAAAGAATTCAAGTAAGGGTTTTTGAGACAAATCGAAAAAGAGAATGTTAGCAAAGTTGACAATCTAGACAGAAACATTTAATCTTTTGCTGATCGCTTGGAAGGAAGACCCACTCGTTGCTTTGCAACGAGCTTTGCTCTAGTTCTTATTATTTTTCTTCCTGGGAAAATTTTGTCCGCGAGTGATCTTGTAAACTATACATCCGACTTAGGTAAAACCTTTTTAGGGTCACTAGGGATGTTATGTAGATTTGCCGAACGAAGGTCATTTTACGCGCACATGCTTGCAAGAGCAAGCACGTGCAACACGTTAAATGGCCAATATAAGGTATTTTGACTAAACTTTTCTATTTTTTGATGAAATGGTTTGAAACTCATAATGTAAGGATATATTAGTAGTATACACTAGATGACATGGTCAAAATAGCAAGATCTCACGCGCATGCACGTGCGCTTTGCTCTGATTGGCTGAAACTTAAGTCTCAATATTTTTCTTGTTTTTTGACGAAATCCTTTGAAATTTTTATCATAGCTTTGCATTACGATATCCTACAACACGATATATAGCAATTATCATGAAAACACGTGTATGCACGTGTGCTGCAATCTGATTGGCCGAAACTTTAAATAGCTATAACTCCCTTGGTTTTCAACCAATCAGGATGGGATTTGGAACATAGATATATATAATAGACTTCCACAAGACGGCATGGTCATTATGTACATGCATGCACGTGCGTGTACGTGCGCTGCAATCTGATTGGCTGAAACTTTAAACAGTTATAACTTCCTTGGTTTTCAACCAAAGAAGATGGGATTTAGATCATAGATAGATGTAATTGACTTCTACAAGAAGGTATGGTCACCATGCTAATATATGCACGCGCGTGCACGTGAAATGAGTAAAATCAAAAATACATTTGAATGAGCGTATATTTAATGATTTTGGATTAAATACATAAATGTTTAATGTATAAAAATGTATAGATTGTTTAGACAAGATGATATAGTCATTACGCTAATGCATTCACATGCGCATGCGTGCAATGCTAAAATTTGAATGAAATTGGTACACTTCTGGGTTTACTTAACGTTGTTAAAACCTCAAATGTATAGAATTTGTCTTATTTAATGAAGCTTACAGGAAATATGGCACCAAAAGGGAATTGGGGAGCGTTTGGGGAACATCTGTAACGGTCCCCGTTACAATTAGCACTAGTTGAAATATGCATCACAATAAAGAAATAAACTCCGTAAAAGCTCAATAGTAAACACACTGTCATTACTCCGTACAGACAAGCACGTTGATACACCTAGTCCGTGCTAATCATATTTTGGTCAGGGAAAATATCACAAGTGGAAAGAGAAGTTATTTGGTTTTTGCGCGGCTGAAGGGGGGGTTATAACTGCTGTTCAGAAGCTATAATTGTGAATTGTCTTACATGTAGTTCTAATATACATTATAATCAAAGTCATGTATATAGTCTGCAGTTGGTTTGCGTCGCAAAATTCATTTGTCAATTATCATGATTATAACTGATAATTGTAGTACTAATCTCAAATCTAAACCAAGTAATTTGATGTACGGCAATTATTTACTTCAAATCTTAAAAGCAATGACCCAGAATATTTTTTTATGTGTATATAGATCTATACGTTCTTTAACACACAAACACACGAAGAAATGCCATCCACTGTTCAGATTGACATTTAGGCATTTGATTGTGTAGGCGGGGGGGGGGGGGGGGGGGGGCGCGCGACATGACCGTTATCAAAATATTCTTGGAAGACGGACATCTCTGCCGAATTCAATTTTGAAAATTTTATTTTTAAATGTGTCACTCCGACCACAATGTATGTGCATTTTGAGGTATGTATAAATGTTTTATAATTATGGTGTTATAGAGAGGCTTTTGAGATTTCACTATCCTTGTCTGATAGTGTAGGTACTTTTTTTATATTTAAAAATTTTCTCTGTAGGAGTATTTGGGAGATAATTCTAAAAGCTAAGATACGAAGTCTTGACACTGGTTGAATACGGATAATTTTATTTACTAACTGTATATTGAACTAACTCTCTCTCTCTCTCTCTTTCTCTCTTTCCCTCTCTCTGTAACCATCTGTAAGCATCTCTTAGGACAATAATAGGTATAAGATCCTACGCACTTTGTGCCGTCCATTTATTAATCCTTAGGACAGAGCAAGGGTTTTTAAACTAGAGGTATTGTGAGCAATGAGCTCACTAAATGATACCCCCGCCGCCCATATGGTTATAAGAGGATTTGCAGATAGGAGATGGGTATCCTAAAGCGTAGCAGACCTACGGACGGACATAACTATTACTATATACCCTCCCACTTTTCAAGCGGGAGATAAAATAAACGTGAAATATACATCACAGGAATGGGTACATCGGGAACTTTCTCAAATACCTTCTCAAACGCATTGGCGTCGGAAGCAAATTGAAACTGGGGGGGGGGGGGGCTAAGTGCAAAGAAATTTTTTTATACATTCAAAATATCTGTCAAGCTTAAAAAAGGGGGAATGTCCTTTTCCTAAACACAAATCTCCTATTTCGTGTGGGGGAAAGGGGGGTGGGGGTGGGGTGGGTTCGAACTTCAGTAACAAATTTTTTCTCCAAACACCAACACATTCCTCTTTTTTAACTTATACTGCGACTTGTCTGTGAAAAGCGGGGGGATGGGGAGGCTAAACCTACGCAGCAATATTCAATGTCTATACTAAGTATATATTTGTAACCCCCCCCCCCCCCCCCCCGGTTCCGACACTTCAATGCTGAACCTGGACAAGAAACAAGAGAATTTTTAAAAAGCTAATTGTAGGTAGAATGTGGATTTCTCACGGGGAGTTTCCTCTCTCTTTTTATCTGTTTTTTCTAGTAATCATTAATTACTTATGTCTAGAAATTTAATTCACATTAAATTATCATTTCATTATTATTGTACCACAGAATCAAACTAGTTTATTATACTCCGCGCAACAAGTTGCGTGAGGTAACATGTTTTGGACCCATCAGTCAGCCCTTTTTTTTTGGGGGGGGGGGGGGGGGGGGCAGCGCAACTTCTTATAAACTAATGCACAGAGTTTTGTTGAACTATGCTGATATTCATAGGAGTCAATGTGTCTGTATTTGTACACCACCAGGAAATTCCGAAATCTTTATTTTTTCGGGAATTTCCGCACTTTTACATTTAGATTTTGGCCATATCTTGAATATAAAGATGAGCAGTTTGTCAGCACAATTCCTCATAAACCGGTGCATATAATTTCGTCAAACTTAGCAGATAATTAGGACACAACGTGTATAGATGTGCATATTACAAGGAAATTACGATTCCTTTATTTTTTCTGTGAATTTCAGCACTTCGACTTTTGTGGGAGCGTGGGGTATGTGAATTTACTCACTTTTTCTTTCATTGTGCATAAAATTATAAATAACTTTAAATCAAATTATATTTTGTCTAATAAAGCCAATACACAGTATTTATTTGATTATATTTGATCATAAAGAAATCCCATCTGTTTCAGACGTTTTTCTTAAAATGTTTTTATGAGAGGATATGCATGTTCTATCCCCCCCCCCCTTCACAGGAAAATATCTTCATATCTTCAAAAGTTGAATGATTCGTAATGATGCATGCTTTATTATAAATTTGATGAAGTTAAACCATGTTTTAAAAAATTTATTTACACCATTTACAGACAAGAGTAATGTTTATTCTTGAAAAAAAAAATTATTTGCATTTTCTTCAGTCAACCCCACGGCGCTTTCAACCTTTGATATTTTCCCTGAACAAATAAAATGATCGGCATGGACCACGTGTGTCCAAGCAGTTTTTTTTACTGTTGAGTTAGCAATGGATAACATGATTTCTGAGATGCATTTTTCAATAAAAGTAAAATAGGATAATTCTTTCGACATGTGCACATCCCTGTAACGATAGCAGTATATATTCAGGTAAATATTTCTATC